TGTTCACTTTTGTCTTAGATGCCTGCGTCAAGGCCCTTTGGGAACCAGCAATGGAATCAGTAGAGATAGAAAATTATTATGGCCTGGAGAGAATGAGGCATTTAGGTGTAACCAGAGGGTCTGGCCGGCTCACTACAGTCAGAGGAAAGGCAAGACAGACGTATAACCAGGTTGTGAATGGTACCATCAGTTTTGAAACTCTGCGCTGACTGCTGAAGATAAGGATGGAGCATGCATGGGAATGCCCTGAGGGTTGTGATGTCAATTCTTGACTCAACTCAACTCAGCTCAGATGCATGCCACCGTTGTATTATATAACTTGATAAAAGCTGTTGTGCAAACCTTTCTCTTAGTTTTTCACCTTTCTTGAATTCATCCATTTAATGTTCACCAATTTCTTTAGGCGTTCATTTTCTAATGCATTTAACTTTCTATGGGTCCTAGATTTCTTCTTCTCGTCTTTTACCCCTTATCCTTCACTGTCTGCAGCTTGTCATCCACTTGAGACCATGATGGTATGTCTCTTACTCATAATGACCTGTTTTTAAATTTTAATAAAGAGTGGGTGTTTAAAAAAATTTTTTTTTCACATTAATGCTTTTTTAAGGGAGTAAAATATAATCCAATAACATTTTTAAAAAAAATCTTTATAATAAATTATTGCAAAATGATCTTATCTTTGCGCCTGGATACGTCAACTTCTGTATTTATCCTGAAATAATACCAGGGATTTTGACTACATTTAGGCACAATATGTTTCTTTGATGTTATCATTACTTTTATTGTTGCGTTATTCAAGCAGAGGTCCATTTTAAACTTTCTTGGGCAACTGTATTAATCATTTTTCTGTAGTTCCTCCTTATTATGACACTTGCAAGAAAACAGGACAACATAAAAACTATAGGTACAAATGCAACTGAAGTCTTCATTTGTTAGATCATTTAGCTAAATCAGTATTTTCCACTTTCAGGGAAGGAGAGGATGATGTCAGTGCACAGATAATGAGGCTGACAAAGGAGGCATTGTTGAGAGGACTTTGTGATGAAGACCAAGCTTGCAGGTAACACAGGTCATAGATTAACACTTTGAGTCCCAGGGGGTTTAGCATCACAGGCCCAAGGGGTAGTCAAAAGAAATGTAAAATCGGCATGACCGGCACACTACACTCAGAGGAAAGTCAAGATGGACATATAACTAGATTGTGACCGGTATCATCAGTATTGGAACTCTTCGCTGGCTGCTGAAGATGAGGACGGAGCAGGCAGGAAATGACCTCGAGTGCTGTGATGTCACTTCTTGACTCAACCCAACTCAGAGCATGTCAAAGATTTAAATCTATGACACTGACCTGCCTGTCCTCATTAGTGTCAGCATTTTCTTCTTAGCATTCACAAGCTGTAAACTCCCACGGAAAGTTCTGGTTGTTCATCCACTTTTGGACTTTAGTCTTGTTCCAGAATTTACAGACCTGGCTTATTTGTATCCATACGGTTCTTTCTTTCTTTCTTTCTTTCTTTCTTTCTTTCTTTCTTTCTTTCTTTCTTTCTTTCTTTCTTTCTTTCTTTCTTTCTTTCTTTCTTTCTTTCTTTCTTTCTTTCTTTCTTTCTTTCTTTCTTTCTTTCTTTCTTTCTTTCTTTCCTATTTTCCTTTCTTTCTTTCTTTTTTTCTTTCTTTCTTTCTCTCTTTCTTTCTTCTCCTTTCTTTCTTTCTTTTCTTCTCTTTCTTCTTTCTTTCTTTCTTTCTTTCTTTCTTTCTTTCTTTCTTTCTTTCTTTCTTTCTTTCTTTCTTTTTCGGGTATATGCACACATAGACATCAAAGGAAAAACCCTAATTAGCTGCCTTTTATGACATGCTTGTTAGGGCACAGGGAGTCTGTTCTCTTTTGCTCCAAATAAGGGCCTATGAATCCATACACACAATTGTTTTTTTTTTGTTGGTATTTAAAATATAACGTTATATCACGTTAGAGGTTAGCTGCAGTGGATACTGTGCAACTACTGAGGCCTCTGGGAATTTTAGGTGGCAAAGTCAATATTTCTTGTACATAGTGACTCTCGCACCACTGTCTGAAAGCAATGTGAATGGTCATTTTCAAATCCGCTATAGGAAATAGTGCCCTGCTACATGGAGAGTCGTGAAACACATTCATTAATCTTCAACCCACAAAGCTGCGGCTGTGTTATCTAACATTTTCTTTCTTCTGTGTAACATTTTTCTGTTTATTTATGTATATCATTTATGCTAATGATGCTTCTTTATAATTGACTGAGAACTTGATCTCCTCAGGTTAATTTAATATTTATGTCAGTTACAGGAATGCAGTTTTCATGATTAATTGATTGCATTCTTTTTCATCTTCTTTTCTCCTCCTATTCCTCCTCCTCCGTCTTTTTTTTTTTTCATCTTCTTCTTTTTCCTCATCCTTCTTTTCTTCTTCTTCTCTTCTTCTTCTGTAATAAATTTCCTGTGCTCAGCAGTCTTAACAAATAGTAATTTGTCTCCATCAATCCAAAAATTGTGGGTTCCCCACATTTTGATTTCCAGTTTCCTGTGTCAGGTTTAAACTCTCGTGTCACTAAAAAGAGGACACAAATGCATCATGCCTTCTTGGATGATTTGGGTTTATTTTAACAGCTTTCTTTTTGTAGAGATGTTTTTATAGTAAAGTGTTCTGTGGGAAATCTGAAAAGTTCTCTTGAGTTTTTGCAATATTCAAATGCAGAATGCATGTGAAAGTGATATAGGGAACATTATGTAATTATTGAAATATCTGAATGAAAATTTAAAGTTTATTCTTTGATGTTTAAAGGGCTTATTAACAGGAAAGAACAGTGAACAGTATTTAAGTGCCGGGCAGGACGCTGCAGTATAAATGCACACCAACGCTAAATAAGCATAAAAGAATGTCACCTATGAATGCAGAGCAGACTCTTGAGCATATACTGCAGGGCTGCCCTAACTACTCCCAGCAGAGGTTGGGGATTTTGCTCAGTGAAGCTGCATTGCAAGACAAGCTCTGGAGGTCAGGGCGGCAACTTTAGACACACCATCATGTTTGCAACTGAGACAGGAGTAATTGATTGGTATGGCCGAATTCGAATGATGAAGAGGAAAGGTCATGTTATTAAGAAAGTCATTCTTTTTTCTTTAAACTAAAAATGCTATCAGAGTAACTGATGTTGAGAAATTGTCATCTCAGGTTGATGTGTCAGAACTTCTGGAGCAGTAACACCCGTCTTCCTGTGGGAACCCTGGACCGAACTGTTTCAATGCTGGAGGCCATGTACTCCCCCACCACTGAGCCCCATTACCTGGCCTACGCCACAGATCTTCTCTTGGAAGCTACATCCAAGTCCCCAGACTATCAGAGAGAGATATTTGAACATGCTCTCAGCGAATGCAAATTCCAGGTACGAGCTTTATAGTTCATTCATTCATTCATTTTTTTAAAGTATCATTTCTCAAAAACTGAAAACTTCAGCAATATAAAAGGATTAAAGTCAAGAGGAGCGACTTTATTGCACCGTGTTTGATCCCATATGCCTCGGCCTCTCTCCGCAGAATGGCTAGCCACCTGCAAGAGCATTACCCACAGCACGAACACTGTAGCTTTGGTGGTGATCCACAGGGATCTCTGTAAAAATTGTACTCATGAACCAAATTACAAGGCCTGGACATGAAAGATGAGGTGGTACGAAAGTTTACAGGAAGCCGAGTGACTTTCCTGTGTGATGAAAGTAGCAGTGCTCTACAAAAGACCTACTACATTCATTATTTCATTCATTCTACTGTTGCACCATTATATATCACTTACGGCTTACAATCTATTTCTCCTTTCCATTCTATACTGTGCAATTATTTTGATATCACAGGTGGAATCCTCCTCTTCCTGTTTGTTTGTTCACCGGCTGTAAGCTCTGGTGGAAAGTCCTATTTATTCATCCATTTGGACTTTGGTTTTTATGCCAGGACCTGAGTTTTGTTTATATATATCCATTTTACTGGCTAATTTGTGTGCAGTTGGATGTTCCTTGCCTCTCAGGCAGATATACTCCGATTTTGAAGGAAGCCCCCCAATTAGTTGATTGTTGCGACATGATTGTTAGGGCGGCAGTGGGTCTGTTCCTGTTTTTCCCTGTTGGGCCCTAGAACCCACATGAGGAGGATGGAATCCAGTCCAGCACCTTTGGCTTCTCTCGTCAGCATTCACTTGAGGGTTTTCCTTGGATGTCCTGGTTTCCTTAGTCCCTCAGTTTCCTATTTCACTCTCGTCTTGCTACTGTGGATAACTAGTTAAGAGACATTTCACTTATTTCTTCACCCCTCTTGAGTTGAGTTGATTCAAGCACCAACATCATACCATACAGAGCATTCCCATAAGTGCTGCATCCTGATCTTCAGCAGCCAACGCAGAGTTTCAGTACCAATGGTGCCAATTTTCAGTCTGATTATATGTCCATCTTGCCTTTCCTCTGAGCATTGAGTATCGGCCAGATCCCTTCGTTAGTCCCCGCTGCATCACTCTCACCAGACTGATGATAGTTTTCTGTTATAATTGTACACTTTCTGCCATAAAGCCCTAACTATATCTGTCTTACCATGCATTAGTATTCCACGAAGATATGCAGAGCCAGCCAGTCTGTCTACCTGTTCATTTCCCAACATACCGGCATTTCCAGGAAAAAAGATCCAGACAATGCTTTTCATCTCTCTTGAATTCTTTGGATTCAGATCTTCTACATAATGAGGATTTTTCATTTTTTTTTGGAGTACTATTTACTTTTCTATAAAGAAGAAGGTATTTGCCACTAGAATCAGATGTTCTGTCTGTATTCATTATAATTTTAACTTAATGTATTCATTTTTCTGTCTGTTTCATTCTGTCTTTTTTACCCTAGAGAAGTAAAGTCTTCAAGCTAATTTTTCCTATCCTCACTGTTGATTCCCTATGATTTTATAAATAAATTTTGAAAATAAAAATTGTCTTGCATCATTGGTAGGACTACTCTGTGCACTCCTCCTGGCGACAAAGGCATGCTGTCATGACTCCCTTGTTCGCTAGCACTTTGGTACCTCAATCAATGGACACAGGTGAAGGAGAAGACAGCCTGGATGGGGCACTGAGGGCCACACAAGAGGCAGCACAGTTCACAGCAACTGTGGATATGGCAGGTGAGGCTGTAGTAAAGGATGTTTGTAGGATATGGCAGGTGAGGCTGTAGTAAAGGATGTTTGTAGGATATGGCAGGTGAGGCTGCAGTAAATAATGTTTGTAGGATATGGCAGGTGAGGCTGCAATGAATGATGTTTGTAGGATATGGCAGGTGAGGCTGCAGTGAATGATGTTTGTAGGATATGGCAGGTGAGGCTGCAATGAATGATGTTTGTAGGATATGGCAGGTGAGGCTGCAGTGAATGATGTTTGCAGGATATGGCAGGTGAGGCTGCAGTGAATGATGTTTGTAGGATATGGCAGGTGAGGCTGCAGTAAATAATGTTTGTAGGATATGGCAGGTGTGGCTGCAGTAAATAATGTTTGTAGGATATGGCAGGTGAGGCTGTAGTTAATAATGTTTGTAGGATGTGGCAGGTGAGGCTGCAGTGAATAATGTTTGTATGTGAATGTGAATATTAATAGTGTATAGTCAGTTTGAATGTATTATAGTCTTCATCATCATTATCATATCCACGCTATGCAGTATCATGTTTGATCACCACTTGCGGTTGATTGTCTGATCAGGTCTCTCCACCTCTATTGATCAGATGCAGTAGACTTAATGTATTTGAGACATCTCAGCCAAGTTGCGTATCTAGGTTTTCCTTGGTCTTGCTCTTCTCCTCCACCCCTCGACTGAGCCTGTGCTAATCTTTTGGAGAGGTCAGTAGACTCTCTTACACATCTGTGCCATTTCATTTTCCAGTTTTTTCACTGTTATTAAAAGAGGTTTGTAGTTGCCATTGTTTTAGAGTGATGATAGAATGAACTTCATCATTTGTGATAAAATGTTAAATTAAGAATCAACACCACAGCACTTGGGACGCTCCCATAAGCACTCCATCCCCATCTTCAGCAGTAAGTGAAGAGTTTCAATTCCGATAGTACCAGTAACTGTCTACACCTGTCTCGCCTTTCCCTTGAGTGTTGAGTGTCGGCCAGATCCTCTGGTTACTCCCTGCAGCACCATTCTGCTCAGACCGTAATGATCTACTCGTGCCTCCTTTTCTTCATCTAACTCTTCTGCTGCCATTGTTGCATTTTCTTCCTCCACCTCTTCTGCTGTGATTGTTGCATCTTCTTCATCTTTCTCCTCTGCTGTGATTGTTGCATCTTCTTCATCTTTCTCCTCTGCTGTGATTGTTGCATCTTCTTCATCTTTCTCCTCTGCTGAGATTGTTGCATCTTCTTCATCTTTCTCCTTTGCTGCTGTGCATCTGTTGCTTTCTCCTCTTCTTCTTCATCTTTCTCCTTTGCTGTGATTGTTGCATTTTCTTCATCCACCTCTTCTGCTGTGATTGTTGCATCTTCTTCATCTTTCTCCTTTGCTGTGATTGTTGCATTTTCTTCATCCACCTCTTCTGCTGTGATTGTTGCATCTTCTTCATCTTTCTACTCTGCTGTGATTGTTGCATCTTGTTCATCTTTCTCCTTGCTGTGATTGTTGCATCTTCTTTATCTTTCTACTCTGCTGTGATTGCATCTTGTTCATCTTTCTGTTCTCCATTCACACTTAAAAAGGTGGTGTGCATGTTGTTTTATGGTTAGGCTGCAATATATGCACCTTTCGGCACAGCCTGTCTGATTTCAACAAACCCTTAATTAGTAACCAATTATGTGTGACATGATTCTTATGGGGCATAGGTCTGGACCCCCCCCCCCCCCCTCTTCCCCACACACACACACACCAGCCTGAAAATAGGGCCCTAAAACACACATGGGGAGATCATCAGTGTTTGCTGTGCATCATTTCCAGCGTTGTTCACACATTATGGCCAGCTGAGGCCTTCACCACTTTGGTTTGTTTAACAAAGCTGTTTATTTGACTCAGATTTCTGCTCTGTTTAGCCACGACTGGCTCCAGCTGACAATGCATTAAAGCAGCGGGTCTCGATTTGAGTGCCGAGGCACTCTGGGGTGCGTGAGCATATGCCAGTGGTGCCGCGGCAATAATCAAGAAAAGTCGGCTAAAAATTATGAAATTATTAAAGAAAGCATGTAGATACTTGAAAGTTAAAATTTAAGTTGTCTTCCCTGGCCACTGTCGAAAATAGTTTATTTCTTGTTTGAGAACCGCTGCATTAACGCATCATTAGCCCGACCTGATGATGTCAGCAGCATGGCCCGTCAGCTAGAGCTGGTCATGGTTTAGCCAATCTCTTTGTAGTTTTGCAGTATTTTGTCTGGAGACTTCTCTGGGGCTCAACATTTGCTTGCAGGGGGCAAAGTCATAGAAATCTGTTGGTCTAAGGAAAGGTTTGAGTTTACAGCTGCAGACAAATGGGAAAAAAAATCATGTAATTATTTACATTGACATTTTAACATATCTTAACAAATAAGGGTGATTACAGTCAAGCTGATATAAAGAAATGAATTCACTAAATCAGTGATTTATCATCATAATTTTAAACAAAGAAGAAATCGTAGCTAAATTTATTATCTGGCCTGTTTTGCTGTTGTTCATCAGGTAAGTACTACAGTAATAGTTTTATAAAATGAAGCTCTCCCTGTGGGTTCTGGGACCTGATTGTGGGAAGAAAAGAATAGACTCGCTCTCCCCCTCAACAAGCATGTCATAATAGGTGACTAATGAGGGGCGTTTTCTTCGAAGTCAAAACAACTGCCTGAGAGGCAAGGAGTCAGTAGTCTGCCTACAAATAAGCCAGACCTGTAAAATGGATATAAATATAAGACTCATGTCGGAGAACAACACCAAAGAAGTGGATACAACAATCAGGACTTTCTATTCCAGTTTACACTGGTGAATGTGAAAAATAAGAAAGAAAAGGAATTGAAAAAAAAATTATTTAAAAAATAAAATAAAATACTATGACACTTGTCAATGCACAGTATACAACACCGTTGTTGTTCCTATGGACTGCTTAATGAAATTGAACTTTGTCCATATTTGTAATCACCTACTTTATCTCAACAGGAAGTGGCAAAGCTTTTAACTGGCTCACTCAGAGCAGCCTGGACACTTTTGCAGAGACGGGCACTATAGGAGGGGATTCCCAGCTTCTGTTTAATCGAGACAGGGGTCAGAGTTCACTTCTGTCAAGGAACAGAGGTCAGCTGACAGCTGGAGGTGGTCAATTGCTTCAAGCTAAAAAGACCTTGGCCTTAAAATATGGAAATGCAGGAGATAGTAAACCATCAACATCCAGTGATACAACTGAAAGTAGGTGGATTTTACAGTTATTTGGTGTAAACGTTTCTACCTGACATTTTTTTGTGGCATTGCTGCTCACAAAACACATTTTTCCATTTTTGAAATGATGTTTCCCCCCAATTTTTTTACAGTTTTGAATTGGGGGTGGTCATCTTATACACAGAATGTTGGAATTAAATATTCAGTATAAATAAATACATTACTGCTATTTATCCATATTCTTTCCCCCATCCTTCACTCACTATTGGCCTTATGACAAATCCTGGTCTGGTACTTTTGTCTCCCCTTCCCTGTCCCAGCAGCTCCCACTTCTGACCCTGTTCTTTCCACCTGATTCCCTCAGTCACCCCCTGTTCACCCAGAATCCTCCTATTCTTAAAGCACACTCACTCAGGTAGATCTGGCAGTCGCAGCTTCTCGATCAGCATTCACATTTTCCAGCACTGATGGAGTAAATACGGTATATTCCATAAATACTGAGACAAATGGGCAACACACAGGCAGGAGAGCTGGAGCTGCAGCTGCAGCTACAGTGGAGCTACAGTACACTAAGCTGAGCGGAGCAACTGCTTTATGCTGTAATGTTTGTAATGACGAGAAAAGTCTTGCTTTCTGAAATTTATGGTGGGCTGAATCAGGATCAGAGGGAATAATGCTGTGATGTCCCAGCATCCACACGCACTTCTAGCTATCTTCTGGGAACTGTTGTCTCCCAGCATGCACCTGCACCTCCTGCTGTCTTATAAGAATTATTGTCTCCCAGCATGCAGTGTGGAATCATTACCATAACATCTCAGAGTACTGCAATAATAGTTGATTATGATACTAATATCAGTAAAGTTCTTCTGTTTGATGTTTATGATACTAAATATACTGGTGTTTTTAATATTTAATAAAATATCAGAGTTTACTGTTTGATGTCTTCTTCTTCTTCTTTCGTTCGCCTGAAAAAAGTTATCTATATCAGCAATTTTGTCTCTTGTATAAATTTCACTGTTGTTAATTCATTCAGTGGTCCATAGAGTTTACGTTCCACTGTTGTTCTTTCTGGCCAAAAGGTTTGCCTTAATGTGTCAAATTCGGTGCAGTCCTGGAGTACATGCTCTGCTGTCTGGGGCACCTTTCCACAGGTGCACATAGCTGATACGCCTATCTTGAATTTTGTGTACATGTGGTTACGTAATCGATTGTGCCCTGTTCTGAGGCGGAGGATAATGACTTGTTCTGATCTGTCCATAATAAAATAGTCGTCTTGTGCTGGGGCTGGTGGTTTCCTGATTGATTTAATGGTTCTTTTCTTTTGGTGGTATGTGACTGTTTGATGTGTAAAATCTTTTTTGTTTTAAATTAATTTTGGGCTTAACAAAATTGGGATCATCTTGTACATTAAGATTGGTTTACACACGGGAAAAATATGTTGTTTTGTATATGTTTGCTACTCTTGATGGAATAATGCGCAAGAGTCACTTTCTGATAGTGTGGTTTTACAGATGCTCAAAAACACGTTTTGATGGTCTGTGTTTCTTTAGGATTGTCATAATTGTTTTTAAACTTCATATTGTTGTAGAAAACCTAAAATCACTTGTTGGTGTATTTTGTTTTTTTTTAAATTTGTTTGTTACTTTAGAATTGCAGTAATTATGTACTGATGTTCTTTGTTACTTTAGGGCAGTCAGTGTCATTTATTTTTGTCCTTTGTTTAAAAAATTATTGTTAGAATCACTAATATTTGTTTTTTGTTTTGTTTTATTGTGTTATTTGCTTCAGAATTGCCAGATAACTGATGATTTTTTTCATTACTTTAGAATTACCAGCATCACTTTCTTATTGTTTGTGTTTTTTAAGAACGGCCATAGTCACTTTCTATTATTCAGTTTTGTTTAAAATTCATAGAATCACTTACTGATGTTTTTATTTCTTCAGAATTGTCACAGTTGCTTACTGATGTTTTTTTTTCCGCACTAGACTTGCCAGAATCACTGACTGATGTGTGGAGATTAAAACGAAGATTCGTCAAAGATCAGAGACATTCACAGACTGTCCACTTCATGAAACAAAATGTTCAGTTGAGAAAGATGCGAGAGGTGCACTACTGTTTTTCTTTCAAAACTGAAAATTGTACTATATAATACTTTGTCCAAGGTTTTGTAATAAAATAAAATGTTTAATATGGTACATAGATTAGAAGCTTGTCCTAAGGTTTTGCATTGAAAATGGTGCAATATAATATGTACATTTTTAGTTTTGTATTGAAAATTATTCTAATTATTGTATTTACAAATATTTAGTATAGAACTGGATTGGGAGTCTGGCCTAGATTTTGTACTGAGAATTGTTTCGATATTGTTCTTCATGTTCACAGGCTGATGGAAAATTCAGGTTGTTCATCCACTTCTGGACTTTGATCTTGTTCCAGAACTGGAGTTTTGCATACACATCTATTTGACTAATGTTTCTTATTTGTATGCAGACTGTTGGTTCCTCGCCTCTCAGGCAGACACACCTCTTTTTAGAAGGAAACATCCTTAATTAGAAGACTCTTACGATATATTTGTTGGGGGGCTTAGATTATCATTTTTAAATCACTTTTTTTTTTGGGTGGACCCTTTTCTATCCAAGAATCCTGTGGAAGGTTGGTGTTTGAACCCCCAGCAGGAAACTGGATGGGACAACAAAGAAGCTAAATGTGAAGTCTGGTTCCATCGACCAGCTACTGAGTCGAATACATGGGTCCAAAACTAAGCTGTGAATTTCAAGGGAAATGTATATTATTTATGCTCCCATTGATGTATATTGTAAACTGTTTATTTAAAAAAAAAATCAATAGCAAACGGCTGGTTGTCACAGAATGTATGATGTTCCTTATGCAGTAATGCATGTGCACCTGCTGATTTGTCATGACTGCTGCTTCCGTCAACTGTGAATAGCAATTCTACTGAAATACTGTGGGTGTTTGCACTCTGGTGGATTCTGCATTGACCTGAAGATGCTCTTTTATCACAATCCTGTCCCTTGAAATATATGGTTTCAGGATTACCTCTTCAGAAACTGAGAGTCTGTTCATAAACTAGTGTGTGTTTTTCACCAGAAAAATTTATTCAGAAATTGTATTTTCCCAAAATGACAAGGCATTCAAGAACTGAGGCTCCAATGTACTACTGAAATAAATCAGTACAACAAAGTAAGCAAAATAAATCTTTCTGGCTGTTTCCTTTTTCAATGTGAGTATTAGCAGTGTAGTTTTATCACTACACCAAAATTTTTTATTTTTTTATTTACAGACTTAGAGCAGTTATTTTATAATTGTAAGTTGTAGGGATACATGCTTTTACATTTGTATACTTTAAGTGTTAAAAAATCATAGTTGTCATGGCAATAGCCGCCATTTTGTGAAAAAAAACAATATGTACTTAGAATCCTTAAATTTTAAAAGCAAACATAGGTATTCAACAATAGGCGATAGATCCATGATTTTTCGTCTTATTTAGAGGTATTGGTCTAGTTTATTTACTTTAAACATGTTTTTAAATATTTTTCGTAGAATTTAAAAATGTAGGTTTATTGAAAAAGTCAAAAAAATCTAGCATCATAAGACAATAATCAAATTTTATAAACAAAAACTTTCTAAAATCTACTTTTAGATAGACCAGTCCCTATAATATTGTTTATGGAGTATGCATACAAAATTTCATGATTCTACTCTTCATATTAGCTTAGATTTTAGGATTTCACACACACAGCAAACTGAAATATAAAGATTTGAGAAAACTGACTTTTAAACTTTTTTTTATCTTAAAAAAGTGCACGAGGTGGTGTCATTAGTATTAACTTTTTGATGCTAAATTGTTTACAAATGACATAAATTTTTTGTGTCATCTATTGTACGAATGCCGAACTTTACGAAAACGAACACATTGAAAAAGTGATATTTTTGTCATAAATTGGGAAAAATGCCGTGTAGTGACCCCCTTAAGCTGATAAATGTGACTTTTTGTTCAAGTGTGAATAACGAAATTGAGTTTTTTTTTCTTTTTCAGGATGCACAGAAAGAACAGAAGGCCCGCAGGGAGAACCAAGTAACGCTGTACCGTAGATATAGGATTGGAGACTTGCCAGATATTCAGATTAAATACCAGTATATTATAGCGCCATTGCAAGCTCTAGCAAATGTAAGTTGGTGTAGTTGCAAGTTGCTCTTTTATTCTTTTGTAGTCTTTCTTCTGTCAAAGGACTGGAAATGAAAAGCTTTATTTCTGAACTTATGTTCACAGACAAACTAATGTGTCAACTAGAAAAATAGAATAATGAATAAACAGACCTTTATGTTTCAAAATTAACAGCCCGAAACAGGCACATTGGGCATTTCAATATTTGCTCAGCCCTCTGGTGCAGCAGCTTTTCCAAGTTACCTCTGCTGATTGTTCCCTTAAAATGTTTACCACAATCTCTCCTATCTCAATTTTGAAGAGGGCACTGACAAAGCTTGACTCTGACTGAGGACATGTAATCATGTTAGCCTCAGAGATTTTTCATTATCTGACCTAGTAGTCTGTATAGCATTGATAGTGTCAGTTCTGATATCAGTAGTCTGTGCAATGAATCGTGGTCCACTTGTAATATTTGTGTTCTGACATTTGGCTAGTTGTCTATAAAATGATGTGTCTACTGGATGATATTACTCACATTTTAAGATGACATAGCCGTGACAAGCGGACACCGTCTCCAAGATACAAGACTGTTTTATTGAAATCTAAACACTTACATAGATTGTCCCGTCTATGTCATAATCAACAGCTTTCACGCTACACATTGTTCAGACGCCAACACACTGACTCCTCACACATTCACCAACCAGAGTTCTGCGTCTTCAGTTCCACATCGCTGCATAGATGGCTCTGGTCACCGCATCAAGCTTCACACCTGACTTGGCTGGACTTGACTTCGATGGATGTTGTCGTCTGGCCTTCCTCTTGCAGCAATCAGTTTTGCTTCCTCATTCACTCAATCAC